TTATATTTATATGGGGCAGTTATACTATATCATGCTGTAGGGCTGCCTTGCTGGAAATGGTAGCCTTAAGAAAAACAATGAACTTGTGTACACCATCTCTGAACGCATCGCCCTTAGAAAATGAGCCAGAAGTGCGTGGTGAAACAAGGTTGAGCGCACCATGGTGGAAGGTTGGCAATTATTATTAGACTTGATCAGTAGTTATAAACGTCTTGCCGAGACTAAAGAGGACAGGATGGCACCTGTTGTATTCTGGGGACGGGGCTATTCAGTTGTTGACTTCTCCAGTGTCGGCATAGCCAGGAATTGTGACAAGATCATGCGCAAGGCAACTCGCGCAACATGCAATTCAATTGCCTGGATGTAAGACGAGGAATGGGCCCACAAAAATGAGTCCTAAATTGCTCAATGGCAGGTGTGCGATGGCTTGAAGCCGTCTATAGAGTACGCGGTATGAGAGCGCTTGAGATTCCTCATATTGTCAAGGACGATCCGAGATTTGAACGAGCACACGATGTCCCAATCAATCAGGGTGGAGCTGCCAAAGCGCCGTGGACGGACGAGCCGGACGGGATGGACTCAGCTTTCACTTCCATATTGCCGTCGAATCCAGCAGCAGATAAGATCGCCCATCGTATGGCACTGATGCCTAGAAATTGCCCCGGTCCAGTGGGTGTTTCTGCACTGCATGTGAGAATTTCACCCAAAGCGCCTGGGCCTTCGACACCACTGTCCGGTTGAACTATTGGCCTGAGATCTTGAAGCAGGCTTCTGAGCGCGGCGACATTGGCCATGGATGCGCCACTCTTAACCTGCTTTTTTTTCTTTGCTAATACCTTGTCGACTTTCGATAGGATGATCTGGTGGGGGATGGCGTACTTTCGGAATAGCATGAGAATGTCCTCGTCTGTCTTTTTGATCCCGTGGAGGCTGTCTATTAAGATAAAGGCCCGACGAAGCCTAGATGTCGCGACCAGAGTCAGTAATCAGTTGCGATTATCAATGCACGGGGCGACTCACTGGCGCCGTCCCTGAAGATACTTCAAAATCTCAATACCCCATTCCGTCCTGCTTCCCTTTCCATACCCTGGCATGTCCAAAAGGACAATTTTGGATTCGCCGCCCTTGGTCCCTCCAATCCCGAATGCATTCATCTCCCGGGTTCTTCCAGGCTTGGATGAAGTCCAGCACATTTCCTTCCCCATTATGGCATTGAGTAACGAGCTTTTTCCGACGTTCGAACGGCCAAGGAAAGCCACTTCGGGTTCGAGCGACGAGAGGGGTGTTGTGCGGAATTTGCTGGCGGACCATAATTTGACAGGAGCATGACGCGAGGGAGTGAAGAACTTATCCGCGTGGGAGAGTTGGGATTCATTCGGTATTCGTGTATCCCAGTAGTAGGAGAGGTCGGACGGAGTCAGATCGCGAAGCTGGAGTTTGGGAGCATTCGGAGGATTGGATGGCGCAACAGCTGTTGGTGAATTTCGGCGAGGGAGAGCCGTTGAGAGATTCCTGCGCAAACAGGACGTACAGATGTAGAGCCTGTTTTTCATTATGAAGTATGATTGTTTGACTGTAAGGTGAGATCAAGCTTGAACAAAGTATCTGAGCTCAAACATGATGCCGTCGAATGAGAAGTGATCCGAGCGGGATCCAAGAGGAGTCTTTGCCGATCCGAGCCCCGCCGCATCAGGCCGATAAGCAAGCTCCGGGGTTCCAGAAACACACCTCTATGTCAATTCTGTTTTGATCACCTATCTACCTGGGAAAGACTTGAATAGTCTGCGCATATACTAGTCGTCATCCACACAGCTCTGGTTTCAAGTCTCCGAGGAAGGCTGAAGATAGCTTCCGTATTGCGCCCAACATGATCAACGCCGTCCTCGTCTTCAACAACAACGGGCAACCGCGCCTCACCAAATTCTATACACAAATCGTGAGTGGCCTGGACTTCGCCTTTCTAGACAGGCTCGATTGGAAATGAACTTGACTGATATAAGCCTCTGCGTCGCGGTTAGGATACGCAAACAAAACAGTCACTGATTGCCCAAATCTACGATCTGGTCGCGCAGCGTCCGCCGAGTGCCTGCAACTTCCTACCGCTGCCTCCGTTGCTTTCGCAGGGCGCGCGTTCAAGCGCAGCAAATGGTCCTTCCGATGCTCCTACGCAAGTCACCTACCGCACATATGCCACCTTGTCCTTCATCATGATATCCACATCCACCGAGTCACCGCTTGCGCTCATCGATCTAATACAAGTTTTCGTCGAAGCCCTGGATCGGATATTTGAGAACGTCTGCGAGCTGGATCTTATCTTTGGGTTTGAGACAATGCATGCGGTGCTCAGCGAGATGATTGTCGGTGGTGTCGTGATCGAAACCAATATCGAGAAGATTGTTGCAGGCGTGCGAGAACAGGAAGGTAATCTAGGCAAAAAGAAAGCTATACAAGCAGCCAGCTCCGGTCTTGGGCGAGGAGGACTCTCAGGGCTTGGTGCTTGGCGTTGATTATCATGATTCCCATATTTGTTTGCTCGAGTGCTACAGGGCATTAGAGAATTTGGTTGCATCTACGGATACGGCGTCTGGGTTGGGATTCGCATTGTGTACATATGATGGCTATGAGACGACTCTGAATGTCCCGAAACATAGTTAATTGAGAACAATCTTCGATTCTATACCTAGAAGGACTCGTTCATAATTTGATGGGCCATACCTCTCTCTTTACTCTATATTCGTTGCCTTAGGATGCAGGCACAATGTTAAGGCAGCAATCGAGCCTGAAAAGCCCGAAGGGTTAACCCTAGAGCATGTGACCGCAACCCATCAACAGAACCCGGCCCGCAGTTTTTCCGTACTTAGCGCGACCCACAAACGCAACGGCGGCTTTTCTTCTCGATAGTCGAAAACGAGCTTCAATTTTTCTTTCTCTTCCCTTGTCTGTCAATCCCGTCACCCAGCACCGTTGCGGAACTCAGTCGACAAAATGGTAAGCCCTTGATATCCAATTCGAATCTCTCTTAGTAGAGCTATCGATCATTTTGCGACATGTCGTAAGACAAGAAATTGTCTGCCTCATTTTGCGAGGGTCGAGGCATATTCCGCTGGTCGCACAATTCTCTCCTGAGATGCGTGCACCGGCGATGATTTGGCTGGAGCCACAGAAGTTGTCTTTGGACTCTTTCTTGTGTTCTCCCTAGAGTTCAAAGAAGATGCAGCAATTGGTGGACAACACGCTGATCTTCTTTTCTCAATGATAGCCTCCTAAGTCCGGAAAGAAGACTGCCCCTCTCCCCTACCCCCAGGGCAAGGCTGGCGCCTCCAAGAAGGCCGCTAAGGTATGCTGTGATTCCTCAGACCGTTGAGAAGTTGCTCTTGCTAACAGCTACAATTAGAACCCTCTCATCGAGCGCCGCCCCCGCAACTTCGGTATTGGCCAGGACGTCCAGCCCAAGCGCAACCTCTCCCGCTTCGTCAAGTGGCCCGAGTATGTCCGTCTTCAGCGCCAGAAGAAGATCCTGAACCTCCGCCTGAAGGTTCCCCCAGCTATTGCTCAGTTCCAGAACACTCTGGACCGCAACACCGCTGCCCAGGCCTTCAAGCTCCTCAACAAGTACCGCCCTGAGACCAAGGCCGAGAAGAAGGAGCGTCTCCACGCCGAGGCTACCGCTGTTGCCGAAGGCAAGAAGAAGGAGGATGTCTCCAAGAAGCCCTACCACGTCAAGTACGGTCTCAACCACGTTGTCGGTCTCGTCGAGAACAAGAAGGCTTCCCTTGTTCTGATTGCCCACGACGTTGACCCCATTGAGCTGGTCGTCTTCCTTCCCGCTCTCTGCCGCAAGATGGGTGTCCCCTATGCCATTGTCAAGGGCAAGGCTCGTCTCGGTACCGTTGTCCACAAGAAGGTAAGAAGATCACCTCCAGTAATGTATCTTGCAACTTGCCCTAACGTCACACTTTCAGACCGCCGCCGTCCTCGCTCTCACCGAGGTTCGCGCTGAGGACAAGACTGAGTTCTCCAAGCTCCTCTCCACCATCAAGGAGGGCTACACCGACAAGTACGAGGAGTCCCGCCGCCACTGGGGTGGTGGTATCATGGGCTCTAAGGCCGTTGCCCGCATGGAGAAAAAGCGCAAGGCTGCTGAGGCTGCCGTCAGAGTTTAAAGCCTGATCAGCTTGATTGACGAGGCTTTTTTTCGGACGACATCATGACTTCGCGGTCCTTTTTTTTTCTCTCTCCACCAGGGATGGATGTAATCAAAAGTTGAAATACTTTGGGAAATGGGAATGGTGTTCTGAGGCTCTTATTGACTTGTTCACGCCATTTTAGCTTAGATGGGTGGAGCGCTCCAGCACCCTCTCAATTCCAATCCATATTGATGGCCCACCTTGTTTTGTTTTTATGTACACGTCGCAGATACCCATGAATGCACTTTCAGACATCAATTAGCAAACCATGTGTAGAGCATAATTGAGGTTGAGCATTCATGCATGAGATATCTGTCTGGTCAAGTAGAACAAGGCTTAGGCCGGTGTTACTATTCTCTGTACCATATTCATCGGAGCGTAGAGTTTATTCGATGCTGTACAACATTCTTCCCTTCGAGTCAATCATGACCGCGAAAGAGATAAAGCCTCTAGACTTCTGGATTCATGCCCCTCCTTCTACCGATTAATTTCCCGTGTATACCTCATATCCAATGACCCGTATCCATAAAATACAATCCGCACGCAAGCATGCTATCAATTTATACACCAAAGGCATGACAATAGAAGAAGCAGACCCCGACAAATGCAATCAAATGACTGTTTCCCTAGCACCACAGCTGATCCCCAAACAAGCGGCTGAAAGCAGTGCAAGGGGAGAAACGACCTCAGAATTGGAAAAGAGAAAGAAGAACGCCGGGTATTGGCCAGTCCCAAGGTTAAGAAGCCTGCCGTCATGAGAAAGAAGAAAAATCATGTCATGGGTTATAGAATCGAAAATAATTCATGGAGCCGTTAGCGCTGCGCAGGGCCTCGCGACAGACCTTGTCTTGCCTAGTAAGATTGATCAGAGATAGTTTCAGAAATGACCATAGCCGGTTAAAGACGTACCTTCATTTGTTCAATCCTCGCCTTGAGTTGGCTGGTGACTTCTGCGGCTCTCTTCCAATTCTCCGCTGGTTCTGAGCTCCTCACCGGTTGCTCCTCTCCAGAAGCACTACCAGACCCCGGTATGGATGATCTTGTTGGACTGCCCATCCCGGAATAGTTGGTTCCGAAGGAAGGGCTGAGTTTCCGTCGACCAAGACCTCCATCTCTGCTACCGGGTCCTGGTGACTCCAGACCGTTGTTTTCTTTCTCCTCACTTGGACTGGCGGACGCGTAGCTCCGAGGTCGCGCACTATCAAAGCGACTTCCCATGTGGATGCTGGTTCTGGGCATTGCACCATAGCCGTTGATACCTGTTTCATGGTATATCGACGTTGTCTCAGGTACTGGCAAATTCATATTATCTGAAAGATTGTTGGGAGGACTCTGAGCGCTGGCCCGGAGAGCTCTGGCCAATTCACGCTTTAAACGATCAATTTCCCTTTGCTGCTTCTGAACCGTCTGCTCAGCCGCTTCTGCATCACTTCTGGCTCGAACCAACTGCGTTTCCTTGGCTTTGATACTTAGAACGTCCCTTGTATGATCCTCAATGAGTTGTGCATTTTGATCTTGAAGCTCCGTCACTTGCGAGTTGAGTCGAGTCCTGTCAGACTTCAAGTCCTCAATCATCCGAAGGAACCTTTCTCTTTCAAGGCGCAATTCGTCGAGTTCAGCCCGTTCGATGGCAGAGATCCCGCTCACTTGGGGTGGTGCAGCTGGAGCTGGAGCTGGTTCAGGAGCAGCTGATGGTTTGGCTATGGGACGGCCTGCAAGCCCTCTTCCGAGACCAAATTTCGGTGCAGCTGGCGCTGGAGGCTGTTCTTCCGAAGAGGGCGAAATGACCCGACGCTGTGGGGAAGCAAGGCCACCAGGGCCACCAAGCTTTCTTTGAAGCTTGAGTCCAGCGCCTGGAGTTGGAAGTCCACCAGGCTTGGGAACCCCACCCAACTTCGAAGGGATAGACCTTGTAGCAGGCTTTGGAGGAGAAAGGGCCGGTGCAGGCTCCTCTGGTGGAGGCGCCGCAGCAGCTGGTGCAGGCTTCTTCATTCCCACAGCCGGCCTCTTCCCTCCAACAACCTTTTTACCGGCGGCAGGAACGGCCTTTGGCGGCCCAACGATAGGCTTCGGTCTGTCTTTTGCTTTTACTTCGGCTGTCTCGAAAAATTCCTTGATCTTTGTCTTCCTGATATCATCAAGTCCGTCCAGGTAAGGGGTCATCGCACGCTCGCCCATGATCTTCATCAAGGTACCCAAAATCTCAGCTCCTCCTGCACGGTTGACTTCAGTAGACTCAGTCAGCAATTTTGTGGCGGCCTCGGCAATAGATTTCACTTCAGCTTTCGACGGAACGTCTCTAGTGGTTCGAAGGCAGCGAATCAGGAATTTCAGAGTCTCCTGCTTCACCTGCGGGTTCTTGTGTTTGAGAAATTCTAGAATTTCCTCTAGACATTCCGATAGATTTGTCGATGCAAAGACCGCATCCAAAGCTTGCCCCAGAGCCTCTGCGACGGTCTGCTTTTTCTCTTTCAATCGTTCCATGATAGGCGGCATGATGGTGGATCGGTGTTTCGCGAAGCCACCCCGCAGACCTTTTGCGAGGAGATCGATACAGTTGGCGGCGACAGTTACGACTGCGACGTTTGCGTCTTTCATGGATTTTGCAAGACCTCGGACAATATCGTCAAACGGCCCATCCTTGATTCGCGGGACGTTCAGTGCAGTATACAGAGCGTCCAGCGCCTCCTTCCTGTCTTTCCACTTCGATGATGCCAACTGCTCATTAAAGTCTTTTGGTATTTTGGAGAAGACGTCGACTGGCTCAGCAAGATCGAATGCATCTACCTCGCCATCATCTTCATCTGCGTAGACCTCTCCAGCTTCCCCGTCACCATCACCGCCTTCTGGAGCAGCACTAGCTGCAGCCATCGCGTCCTGTTGCGCTTTTGTGAATCTCTCTTGCTTTGGCGCCGGTTCTTGCTTGACGTTTTCGAACAGCTTTTCCAGATCCTGTTGCTGGACAGGTTTAAGCTCTCCCCAGAACAGCGGTTTGATAGCCTCTTTCAACCATCGATACAGTTCGACTGTGAGATTCTGCGCTTCCGCACGAACATTTTTATCTGCGTGCCCGAATACCTTGGGTAAGGCCTTTAGGACTGGTTTAGGATCGACAATCTTGCAGCCGAAGTTGTGATAAATGGCTTTCAGTCCGCTTAATGCCGCTGCAATCACCTTGGGTACTTTGTGCGACAAGATAGGGACTATTTCCTCAATAACCGGATCTGCCTTGTCTAATTCGACACAGAGTAGAAGAGCTTCCAGCGCATTTGTTTTGGCCGCTGGTCTTGTTGAGGGAAGTCCTTTTTCCACAATAGGACCTATTGTGGATCCGCGAGTTCTGCGCAAAACCCTGTGAGCTATACTCGAGGTCGAAACGGGATGAAATATCAGGCACGGTGCTAAGGGTAGGCATACCTTGTACAAGCCTGAACACCCCCATATTTGAGAAAAGAGCAATATGACGCAAGACCTTCTTGTTGAGCAGCAACATTGGAATCTGACACTGCCCCTTTCCAGAGACCTGGATCTTGTAGAAATGGTACGAAAACTGGATCCGACTCATCGGGCGTCTTTTCGAACTGTTGCTTGGCATCCTCATATCCTTCCTTTCGCACTTTCCAATTCTAGAGACACTCGGAAGATTGTCAGCGTTTTGTGTCATCAATGAAATTTTACCGAAGACATCGAGTAAATGGGCTTTAACCTTGTGAGAGAACCGGTCAGGCAACGGCAATGAAGAAAAGTCCTCCTCCCCCTCAGCCATGTTGATAGATTCTATGCGTAGGCGATGTTATTAGCTAGAGGGCGCACTAGAATTGAGAAGCGAGTACAATTAGCTTCATTCCACCAGAAGGCGTGGCATAACAGAACAGTAAACAGCCGAAGCGCAACATGCAGAAAACAAGACAAGGACGCCGAAAGAGACGAGTAGCCTCAGGCGAGACAGCAAACTGCTGTTGATTTCACACAACAGAAAAAGACCAAGGACACACCTTAGAGGGGTTGTTTGCGGAGGGGTTTCCTGTTGTGGATCTTTCGAGTAATGGCAGTCCAGAGTGTGTCAAGACATGCACAACTGTATGAAAAATAATTCCTTCAGCCGATCCTAAATCTCCTATTCCGGTATCTTTGATGAAAAGAGAGGACTAAAGGGTGTGGTGGACGCCGAGGAGAACATGCCACTGAGGCAGACGATGATTGATAGATTCGGACAGTAAGGTAAACAACCGACAAGTCGCTGTGGTGATTTCGCGACCCAAAGATTGGGTGGAGTGGCTGCCTTGGCGTTCAGGCCCGCAGGAACACATGCCCAACTGTAGAGAGGTATCTAAACAAACAATGTGAGGATTTGTGCCCCCCGCGGTTGTTTTAACCAGCATCATATCAATTCTCTACTTCCGAGCCCGATTCTGTGCTATAACCACTAAACACTGATCCATAACCGATCAACTAACAGATAAACTATATGCATCCGCTCTGACGATAGATACGACTCCCACGTTGTCCCCTCCCCCTGCGTTCTCACACCCATCCCCTCGGTCGCAAAACAGAAATCCTCCCCCCTCTTGACATCCAACTCGCTCACCGCCCGGCTCAGGACTATCATTCGCATACAATTTCCCTAGATCAATTGCCAATAAGGGTCAGCCCAAAGTGCTAGACCTCACTTTTCCTGCGGGCGATCGCACGGTATATCGATAAGGAATTTACCTGTCTTGGTCGACGAGGCTACAGTAGTGCATGCAGAGCGCCAGACTGGTTTGGAGAGACTGCGCACGAAACTGCCGTTGATCATGAGCCAGCTACTCACGGCGCGGCAGGCAGAGGAGCTGTACGTCATTGCTCCCGGATTACAATAACTGAAAAAAACTGAGGAAAGGGATTTGTGACGCTGACATCGCTCAAATCGTTCCCCACAGACACAAATCCATTATCGCCTATCTTACCTCGGTGAACCTCACTGAGAGTTCCGCTGCTCTGCGAGCGGAGCTCGGCGATTCGGTTTCAATTGACGATGCGACGCTCAAGAAGTATGAGGGGCTACTAGAGAAGAAATGGACCAGTGTGGTTCGCTTACAGAAGAAGGTTGGTTTTCCTAGGACTTGCGCGAACCTCGTTTGGCGTAATAATTGCCGGATAGCACTGACCATCGTCTCCCCGTTTGGGCTAATCAGATTATGGACCTGGAGTCCAGATGCGCCGCACTCCAGTCAGAACTAGACTCTGCAACGCCTACTTCACTGTTGCGAAAGAATCAGGACCCTACATCGTGGTTACCGCGAGCCCCTCCCCGCCATGTACTCGAGTCCCACCGAGACCCTGTCACTTGTGTTGCGTTCCACCCAGTCTTCTCTTCCCTGGCATCCGGGTCAGACGATACGACGATCAAGATCTGGGATTGGGAGCTTGGGGAACTAGAACGGACTGTCAAGGGGCACACCAAGGCGGTTCTAGACGTCGATTATGGTGGGCCTCGCGGCGGTACACTTCTGGCGTCCTGTTCATCCGATCTAACAATCAAGCTATGGGATCCATCGGATAACTACAAGAACATAAGGACCTTACCAGGTCATGATCACAGTGTCTCCTCTGTGAGATTCATTCCATCTGGCGCGGCAGGCTCGCCTATGTCGGGGAATCTATTGGTCTCCGCGTCACGAGATAGGACTTTGCGGATCTGGGATGTAACTACCGGCTATTGTGTGAAGACATTGTCAGGACATGTGGACTGGGTACGAGCTGTTGCACCATCTATCGACGGAAGGTTCCTCTTCGCTGCGGGCGATGACCGGATCCCTCGTCTGTGGGACCTATCATCTGCGGAAACCAAATCGACCTTCCTTGGGCACGAACATCACATTGAATGTGTTGCTATTGCTCCTGCTGCCAGCTACCCGCATCTTGCGATTCTTTCCGGCTTGAAGAGACCGCCGGCGGCTTCCTCGTCGGCTGAATTTTTCGCCAGTGGGTCTCGAGACAAAACTGTCCGGCTATGGGATTCACGGGGTAATCTTATCAAAACGCTTGTGGGTCATGACAACTGGATTCGTGGGCTCGCTTTCCATCCAGGAGGTAAATATCTTCTGTCGGTTTCAGACGACAAGACCATCCGCTGCTGGGATTTGACCCAGGAATGCAAGTGCGTCAGGATCATCTCTGAGGTCCACGGACATTTTGTCACATGCCTCCGATGGGCACCACCATTAATTAAAGATGCGGGAGCCAATGGAGAATCAGGGACCAATGGGGCACCGGCGGCCGCCGCGGCGACAAATGGTGTCAGACCAGATCCCAACTCGGCCAACAAGATCTCAATCAGGTGTGTCATTGCCACCGGCAGTGTCGACCAGAAAGTGCGAATCTTCGCAACCTGACGTCGCGGACTGAGCAGTACCGTCGGCCTTCAAACAACGATGGAGACGCACCAGAAGATGAGTGCATACGAAGACGAAGAAGCAAACTTACCGAAGTCGTTCAATCGGAATGAAATCTAAGTGAACTTGGCTTGCTCACAAATATGGGCATGGAGTTGGTCTCCATTCTGTGATACCAGTACATTTTAGGTGGAAGCAAGGTGTGATTTCCCTGGGGCTAGAGAGCTGTACTACCCTTATTACCTTCTATATTGTCTTTAATCCCGCCAGTTTTTGGGGTTGTTGCATGGACGGATTTTCTTTCGGTTCAAAGCTGCGTCTTTCCTCGTACATATTTTACGGCCTTTTTCTTTCTAGTTGATTGGGATTCTAGATACCTTTCTGTGCGGACTGTTCAATACTGGTCTGTTGAATGAATTTTTTTCGATCGATATATTGCACCTACCACGTTACTATGTCACTTTAGTCAGTCTTCCAGCGGTAGTGGACTGTCTGATGGTAAATGCAACAATTATCACTTCATAGCCAGCTCCTGCTGGGCAAAGTAAGCAACAGAAGATGATAGCAGGTCTGATGAATTCCTCGCCATTTTGGCTTGTACTTCGATGAGCCAATTTTCCAAAGAACAGTAAATGAACATGAATGATCAGAGTATAGTACAACTTAATCTCGCAAAATCCCTATGCAGGAGTCCCATATCCCTCATACAAATACCAATCTCGAATACCCAGAAGACCCTCCACTTCACGCACTCACAGCACCAACCCTCTCATAAATCAATCCCCTGATCCGTCCAACATGCTCCTTAACACCCTGCGCCTCACCACCCTCCGACCTCTTCGCCTCCCGCCGCTGCCACTTAGCAGCCCTCTTCTCGGCACGCACAGCGTCCCGCTCCTCGCGCGTCATAACAGGCGGACGATCCTCGATCGCACTCCCAAACGGCGCCACAATCCGCTCCACCACATGCCGTACATTGCGACTCTTGGGGAACCCCGACGAGAACTCGATGACATCGCCCTCGCGGAGAGAATTGCGGGGATCCGAGACAAGGAAGTGCGTGATCTTGGGGTAGGACTTGCGCAGATGCGGGTCCCAGGTTATATGGCGGTGGCTGACGCGGACGGTGCGGTCCATACGGCCGACGGAGACGACGGTGCCAGTTTTGAGGGTGTAGGGGTACTTGCGGAGGGAGGGGGGTGCGATGGTCGACGGGGGTGTAACTTCTGGAGGTGTCTGTTGTTGCTCAGTGACTGGGGCCGTGGTTGAAGCGGTGCGTCTGAGGATTGCTGAGCCTGCGATGAGGCTTGATCGTGTTGGGTGGAGGAAGGAAGCTTGGGTTGAGCCGGTGGGGATTGTTGACCGGGGGATGCAGGATCGGAGGGGCTGCATTGCCCGTATGATATTGCTGGGTGGCATATTTGTGTAAGAGATTGACCTCTCCGAGACCTCAACGACCGGGTTTCTGTTGTCGAATGGGGTGATGTCCGTTCGGGTGTATGAAGAGGTAGAGTTTTGACTTCTTCGGGGATGCGGTCTTTCGGAGAGTGAAAAGTTCGACCTCGGAGGACCGGGAGAGATCAGCGTATAGTTCCCCGTAAATCAGTCAGGTGCGACGAATGCAATGAGCACCCGGATATTGACAGAATTTCCCTAGATGGGATCTTGATGCCTGAGTTGAAATCCGCGGACGGTGGAGTTGCCCAAGAATTTCTCCATTAGTGTTTGCACTGTTTGTCATCGCAAAGTCAACATCTACAAGACACGCCTTGAATTCGTCATTTTGCAAGGAGTACAATTGATATGATTTGAGATCAAAGTCATTTTAATAGCCCGAAATTGAATAGAATAAACACACATATCAGAAATCCGAACCTGGATGAATAGAGATACCCATAAGATAAACAAAAAAAACCTAATGGGAGTGCTTAATATACAAAACGCCAAAGCCTCCGACCTGCCATGCTACCCAGGCATAGGAATCTATTCGTGGTCATTTTCTCGCTGGTCTTCCGTTCCAAAGAGTCTGTTATAATGAACACAAAGCATAGCAGAGACAAAGTATGTCCACGCCTAACTCGTAAACTGGCGGGGAATCTTCCTCAAACACTCAAGCCGGTCCCAGCCCTTCGCCCGTTCTCTAATCGAAGAGAGAATGACAACTTCATTGTGTCTTTTGAGATTCATC